TTAACACGACCTCAATCCCCAGACGCGATGAGGGGGGGAGGGGTGTTGGTTTTGATGGTCATCCAAGTGTACAAAGGGGCCAAAAGTTGGGACAACACTGAGTTAAACCCATTGTGTGAACCCAACAGTGAAGTAATAATTGGCTTAAATGGTAACTTTCTCCGCATTGGGGTCACATAAACCCTTAATACCTTAGAGGTATAGAAATTTACCTTATCTGATTGGTTAGAGGGGCATAAAACTCAACAGCCACATATTTATGGGGAATGCATGGATTATAGAGTGGTTTGGGTAGAGCGAAAAATGGATTTTTAATGACCACACCAGGATCTGTTATGTCCCCTCGAAGCATAGGAGGGTTAATTTAATGGATAACTGCTTAAGATCGCTGCTGTTTTTGTTTTTGTTTTTTTAGTGTTATTTTAACTTCCTGACTAAAACTCTACATCGGAAGTGTGTAGTAAAGTTTAACTCTTCTATCCTGCTTTTTTGTTTTTGTTCTTTTAACTGTCTTTTTGGAATGGATTTTTTTTCGTTGTTCTTTTTGTTTTGCACTTCGATATGGACCATTTTTCCCAATTAGTCTGCTCACAAATATGTGAGGTTTACTCCCTGTACTAATTTTAAAGCTTTCCGTTTAATCCCATAAGGAACTTTGCATGCTCAATACCCTGCTGGTGCTTGTCCAAACTCCTGGTTTTCTGACTTTTGATCAGTTATCAAAAGAAAAAAAAAATCTGTTTAAGAAGCAGTTGGGTTGAGATGTAGTGATGGCAAGGAACAATTTTGAAGACTTTACACATTGGTAGGCCCAGTCTATTGCCAGACTAATCCCAATGCAACATTGGCTGCCATTTTGAGCCCTTCAAGTTGGTCCCTTTCACAAAAAATACTGGGTGTATTGTCACAAGTCACTGGGCCCACGTGGGGAAGTTGACTTTGTCTGTTTCCCTCTGTTCTAGTCTGATTCTGATTTATCTTTCCTCCTTCCTTTTCTTCCAACTTGGAACCCCAACAGAATTGGTTGACAACCTTTGTTAACTAAGCTAGTTTTAAAACTGCATTGAGTGAGCTTAAACTTATTGGGGAAAACCTCCACCCCCATACACACACATAGCCATCGTTGCTAAATGGTTTCTTGGTGGCAATCACACACCCGTTTATTTGTGCTTAACGTAGAGAAAGCATGGTTTTACTCAACACAATTTGCTGGGTTTGTAGACACCGAGCTATAAAGAAAGCACATAGGCTGGATTCCTACAAGACGCTAGGCAAAAAATGTGGTTGTCTGGATTGTGATTTGGTATGTCACACAAACACAACCGCATTGTCTGAAGATGAAGAGAAGCATTGCCCTTATTTCAGTTTCTTAGAACTCTGTGACTCTTTAGTCTACCTCAGTGAGGTCCAAGTGAGAGTCCCATGTGGTGTAATGGTGCAAATGCTGGACTAGGAGCAGAGAGACCCATGTTCTAATCCATCCTCAACCATGGAAATTCCTTGGATGACTCAGGGCTGGTCATCATCATCATCTCTCAGTTCCACAAGGATTGTTGTTGTTGTGGGGATAAAATGAAGAGAGATCCTCATGCAAGCTTCTTGAGTTCCTAGAAGGAGCTGAAGCCAGAAAGAAGAGGGGCTAGAGCTAGAAGGGGTGGGGACTGTACAGGCTCTCCCTGACCAGTGTCCTTTGCTTTGTTTTCACTTTCAATTTCACGTTCACTTTCCAACTCTCACTTCTGTTTCCAATCCAGCTGGAAGGAGACAAATAGCTCTTATCAGAAATCTGGACTGATTTGGTAGTGGGGTGGCTGTGGAGGTGTCAAAAATCACAATGGCAACTGTGGCTACCCAGTCAAAACCCTGACCCTTTTTACATACATTGCAACACATGTAAAAGAGGGTGGAGCTTCAATCGTGGCTCCCACCTTGACTTTTTTGATCCTCCCTCCCTCTCCCCCCCCCCCATTGGGCACCTCTGCAAGGGCTTCCTGTTAGCCACCCCTGCTCTAGATGCTACCCTTTGCAAAGGGTCCAAGGGATGGGGTCAGGTGGTTTTTCTCAACTTCATTGTTTCCAGTGGAAGATGAAACAGGTATTTAGATCAAGCATGCCCTTGGGAGTGAAATGTTACTTAGCTTGAGATATGAATCTGAATTGCTTAATTGCCTTGATGAAGGTGCACTGAACCGTGGCAAGAGGTGGTAATAGGACCTGTGTCTAATCTTCATCCAGTTGGGCGCAATGTTGATATTGCAATGGTAGGTAGGTAGGTAGATAGATTCAATACCCACACACACATGTGTGTGTGTGTAATTCTTTATTACCTTCAAAATGGCAACTTCTTCTTTCTTTCCAGCTAAAATAACATCGTACCTTTTCCTTCCAGCTCACCAAATCTCACAGGCAGGGGCACATGGTCAAAGTCGATTGGCTGGACAGATTGACCTTTCGAGAAATTGAAATGATCAATGAGGTATGTCATGGGCTTACATGAGCTTTGGGGCATGGCTCATTTGGAAACGGTGGTGCACAGCAGGTGCTGGATCTTCAGGGAACGTAGTTAGTTCTTCTTCAGCTTTCTTCCCAGCCCACCCCCACCCCCCACCAGTCCTCTTTGCAGCGGTGTAATTTGGGGCAGAGGGAAAGACAAGGGTTGTGTTAGCATTTGGCCTCTGAATAATTTCCAAGGAATCTAGAGGGGTGTTCAAAAAAATGGCGGATGCAACGAAGTGACCAAGGCTGTACACAGGCCCTTGTTTTATGGGTCTTTCGCCTCCTGTAAAAAGGGGTGGGCTTCAGTCATCAGCTGTAGCCACCATCTTGATTTCTCCTTCCTTCCGCCCCCTGTGGATGCCCTGAGTGTGGATGCTGAGGACACATCAAAGAGAACATTGGAAAACAAAGTTGGATTTGATATAATTTATGTTTAATTAAAGTCTCCCACAAAATGAACTTCACTCCTGGGGAATACACAAAGACATTTGTGGTGCTTTCCTGCCAATGAGATGGACGTGGTTTTCCATTCACTTTTAAGATTTCTTCCCCCCCCTTTTTTTTTTTTACTTCCCCGTCTAAGGAATCTCAGATTAGAATTCCTATCCAAGTATTCCCCAGGTCAACAGCATCCACAGGGGTTGGGGTGGGGCGTGGGGATTTCTTTCATGCTGTTCCAACACAAGTCTGCCACTTTTGTGTATACACCATGAGATCACCTGGATGTACAAAAGGGGAGAGTTTATAGCACAACGGTATGACACTGCAAGACTTATTTTCACATTTCCATCCTAACACAATCCAAAAGGCTTACGTAGAATATAAAAACCCATTAAAGATCAGTGTTTCTCAACCTCGGGAGATCCTGTAGATCAGTGTTTCTCAACCTCGGCCCCTTGAAGATGTGTGGACTTCAACTCCCAGAATTCCCCAGCCAGCATGCTGGCTGGGGAATTCTGGGAGTTGAAGTCCACACATCTTCAAGGGGCCGAGGTTGAGAGACACTGCTGTAGATCTTCATGAGCAAGTCCAACCTTTCTGGGCCTTTTTGACCCTGTTGAACCTACACAATGAAAAGTTCTTTGTTCGCAAAAATGCAAAGAACTCAAATGTCATGATCCATCCGATAAAACAGTTCACTTTTAATGATGAAACTGTCATCCATCCCATATTTTCTTGAGTTTTGGGGGGCTGAAGCAAGGAGGTGCTGCTTTTCAGTGGCAGCACCAACACTGTGGAACAGTCTCCCGGTAGAGATCAGGATAATCCCTTCCTTGTTGATGAGGAGCCACTAAAGACGGGGTTGTTCCACAGAGCCTTCTAATTTTATCGTGCTGTCTTTAATGCTATTTTTATTGTCTTCATTCTGATGTTTGCTAGGTGTTCCTTTTATTGTTCCTATTGTGAAGTTTGTACCATGGATGTTTTAACGGGTTTTTATATTCTACGTAAGCCTTTTGGATTGTGTTGGGATGGAAATGTGAAAATAAATTAAAAAATAAAAATATATACTCTTAAGTCCCCTCTGCTCTCCTTAGGGAGAAAGGAAACTGTTGAAGTTCCTTAAAAGGAGAAGCAGGGAGTCTGTGCATTATTATTTTTCAAATATTTACTGTATAGGCTGTTGATGCAAAGTTTCCCAGATTGTGTTCTTTTGAATGTCTGAAAAGAATAGCCCTTAGAGTTCTGAGCACCAAAAGTAGGCAGGTGCATACTTTATTTTTCAAATTAAAATTCCAAATTAAAGCTTCTTCACACAGCTTTTCTGTTTCTTCTTCCTTCTTATTCTCAGAGCGAGAAGCGGAGTTCTAATTTTATGTATTTGATGATTGAATTCCGTTGTGCCAAATGCGATGACAAAGAATACGGGATCGTGTATTATGAGAAGGTACGCGATGCTTGCCAGTTATCGATTTTCATTTATTGGATTTGCAGCATCAAAAAAATGACTTGCTTTTCCCTCCTGATCTGAGATGGGTGAATTATTATCTCCCAGAAAAGGAGGCAACATTTGCTCAATAACAGATGCTAGTATCTACACGCAGAGCAAATAGGAGAGTTATAGCTTCCAATCATTTATTTAAGGTTCTTCAGGTTTTATAACTTTTAATCAGTCTGAGGAAGTTTCACAAATCTTGCATTCAGAGCTTCTCCTCTCGTTTCCTTCTGTATAACGATAGACCATTTACTGAACTGGAGAATAAGGCATGGTGGATCTGGATGTCCTCTGCACAGTGCCATCACCCAAATGACATAATTTATAACATTTGCATAATGATGTCATTAGGCAAATGATGGGAATCACAGCAGACCTTTGATCTGCTGCGGGAAACGGTGTGCTTCACCAAGCAAAGTTGCAGGCTGAAGGTATCCATTTGCAACAGTGATGGATAACGTTTTGCATAGTGTTTCTCAACCTGGGCCACTTGAAGACGTGTGGACTTCAACTCCCAGAATTCCCCAGCCAATTTTAAGATGTGT